GCACTGGTGTTACACTTTTTGCACTGGTGTTACACTTGAACTGCACTGCTCTTAGCCAATCAGCATCGAGTAATTTTTTCATGTGTATTATTAAAGATGTAACCCCATCATAGTCAAATGCGACCCCATCCAGCGGCACATCCCTATTAGCGTAGTAGAATATTCAGGCCAGCCGAAGCGCTATTTAGGTCTAAATGTGAAATCGGAAACTCGCGAGCACAGCGCGCGCTGAAAAAGGCGCGTTCAGAGTTTACTCGCGCGAAGTAGCCAATCACGTGTGAGTACCGAAACAGCGCGGTTACGTAGTTTCACAAAGATGGCGGCTGTAGAGGATGATGAACCTGTGGCTGGTCCGTCAAAAGTTGGTGCTAAGGAGAGAATCCAGCAAGGAGCTGCTCTGAAAGCTGAAGGAAACGAGTATTTTAAGAAAAAGGAGTATCGGAATGCGATGAAGTGTTATCATAAAGCATTACTGCACGTAAGAGGACTCGTTGACCAGCCGACATTTACCGGAATGACCGGCATGGACTCTTTCGAAAAGGAGATTTCGGACGAGGACAAAGAAGAGATTTACCAAGTTCAGTTTAGTTGCTACAACAATCTGGCTGGTAAACTCAAGGGTTTTTTTTTTTTCATTTACGCGGAATATCGTAATAAGTGCCGTAAAAGGGTGGCACTAGTGACATTATTTTATAAATATTTGAGGACGTGAAAATAATATCAAGCATGCATAACGTAAACTTTTCACCTAAACTTAGTCTTTTCAATTTCAATTTCAATATTTCTAGCTTGTTTGATGAAAGACAGTCGCTGGGATCGGACGGAGTTTTACTGTAACGAGGTAGGAGACCTACAGTCAAACCAAGCGAAGCGTACCCCTCAAGATTACATTAATGGATTGATTATTTGAATATTGAACCCGCTAATCGTTATAAGAATGCAATAATGAATTGATTATTGGGAAATTGAACCCACTAGTTGTTCCAAGAATACGGCTAATGGGTTTAATGTTGAAAAAACTCAATTTAATATTGATTTTTGAAATGACTAGCGAGTTCAATATTCAAATCTGATCAATTCATTATTGCATTCTCGAAACGATTAGCGGGTTCAATATTCAAATAATCATTTCATCAATGTAATCTTGAGGGGTACGCTTCACTTGGTTTGACTGTAACAGCTGACTGGTTGACCACAGCACATGGGTTGGTGTATGAGCCAGGTCTGCAGGGGTGGTCCATTGACCTGGGTCCATCTTTTGTACATACATCTCTCTCCTCTATAGTTTGGTAATCAGAATATTCGCGCGACTTTCCTTTCCTTTTTTGAGGTGTTTCCTTAAAGAAATAGAGAACATTGTCTCTGTGTTTCTTTAGATTTATAGAAAAATTCGCAAAAGTTTTGGAATACTCAGAAAAACTGTGGAAACCCTTGCAGTTGCCCACGGCTTGTGTTTGCCTGTAGCATTTCTCGTTCTTCCAAACTTCCAACTTGAGATTTCCATAGGTAATACCTTATACTTCTTTGTCAAGTGTTGGAGGTCAACCAGAAAGTCAGCAATATTCTGTCTTTTGTCTTGTAGGCCTTAAAACTTCAACCACAAAATGCCAAAGCCTTATTTAGAAGAGGGCAATCCTACTTTCACATGAAGGATTTTGAAAAGGCAGAAAGAGACTTAAAAGCTGCAGAGGAATTGGAGCCAAAAGGTATGCAAGTTTAATTTGTTGAAATGACAAAGAAAAATAGTACAGAATACTCTATTTGTCACATAGACATCGCCCAACGTGGCGGTCCTACTCCAGCTTAGAGGTCGACCAAGGCACACAGCCTTGGTTTACAGCATGTATCTTTTATATTGGACATCCATGTTGTGCTCAATTGACACCAGTCAAAACAAGGTATCTGCTGGCCAGTATCATGTGAGCCTGCATATCACCAGCTCAGGTTTAGAGCTCATTGAGGTCACGTGTTTTGAAGTCAACTGCTGCCCAGATACGGGTTTTCGATTGGATCGCAGGTTCAAGCCAGGTCAACTTGATGTAATCAGGAGCTCCGCTTTTAGAAGTTCTGGGTAAATCTATATATTATATTGTGGGGTCTCACATAATCTTGGTGTGATTACAACTTCTAGTTAACTAATTACTGATTTGCTATATTTTCACAGATTCAAGTATCAAGAAAATGTTGGGATTGCTTGAGGTAGAGCTGAGGAAAGTCCGAGAAAAGGAAAAAAAGATTTATGCTGGAATGTTTGATAGGCATGCCAAAAAAGAATAACATTTTACATGATTGTAAATACATGTAAGTTTTAGACAATTCAGAGCATCATAAATTATTTGAAACATTATTTTGTAAAGCAACCTACATTCATTTGTACATTATACACATACAGTATATGCCATTAAAATGTTTTCAATAGTTTGTCAAAATTGGTATTGTTTTGATGAATCTCCTATTTCCAATACTTTGGAGCTGTCCAGGGTTAGATATTTTGAAGAATGTCAACATTATTTAAAATGGTAACAAAATTTCTGCAATTGTCAGCAAAACTTCATCAAATTTAATTCAAACTATCCGAACTTTTCTTGAACCCAACCTCATAAATATGTTTTATCTTTTTTTTGATGAACAGTTCTCGACTTCTGTTTTGTGCTTAGATCATAGTGCCGTCACATTTGATCATAGAGTCACCATCTTTCAAGAATAATTTGGCAGAGGAATATGGGGACTAAAAACTACTCTGAGAGCAGAGAAAGGGTCAGGAATGCTCCTAAGAACTCATTGCAGTATTTTGGTTCCAGAATTCTGGCTTGGGTTGTTTGAAAGGTGGATGACACTATTCACCGGATAAATCACTATCCACTGGATAGCATAGTTTGTTTTGTCAACACTAGTATCCAATGGATAACGATTTATCTGGTCTATAGCGTTATCCAGCCTTCGAACAAGCAGTGTCAGGGTTTTTTAAAGTCGTAAATGATGATGAAATCAGTAGTGTTTATTAATATGTAAGGTAGGTAAAGTCTTTGTCATTCCAAGTGGTCCATATAGCCGAACTTATGACAGTTTCCATAGAATGAAGCAACTAGGAGTATTTCTACAGCCCCCTGCCCGTTTTTGTTGTTTTGTTTTTGAAGGGTAAAGTAAAACACTGCTAGCAAACAAATAAGCATTCTAATCACCTAGAAAGAGAGTTAAACCATGGACATTGCCTCAGTCTAATTTTTTTTTTTTTCCCGGCTACGGCCCAACCTTGGATGGGATGCAAATGACAGTCCATCACAGGGTTACTCCCAACGTCTAATTCGTCGGTACTTGTTTATAAACCAGGCCCCTGTTGTTTGAAGTGTGGATAACAATATCCACCTAAATCACTATTCAGTGAATAGTGTAGTTTGTTTTGTCAACACTCCACTGGATAGCAATTTGTGTAGTGGACAGCATTACCTACCCTTTGAAGAACTGGGTAATAGATGAAGAGAGACACTTTGAAACTAGAGCATCTTGTGTTTATTTTGTGACAAATCCTTCTGTCACAAGCAAGTAAAGATCTCATGAGTGAGCACAGTGAATGAATAATGCACACTAATGAGTTAAACATTCTGAAGAGACAACATTTTTGTTGACAGAACACTTTTACATGTATGCTTTATTGTGACTCAATGCTATGCAGCTTAGCAGATAAAACTGGCATGCAGGGATTTTTGTAATGCTACACTTTTTCACATAACTATCTCGTACAACACTTGCACAACTAAGTACATTAATATTTAGAAATTAAAAATGTTAATTATTTTCTGTCAAAGCCCTTTACTGCAGCATTAAAAGAGAGGTTTGTGAAGGTTTAACATACAGTTGACAGTGTTTGGAAGAAAAAATAATTATACTAAATGTAAGTTTTCAATGGTGTTCCTACTTTTGCAAACCATTCAAAACACAAAATCAGAACCTTTCTTCTAGAGCTACAGTATACAGTTAGAGTTAGCTGAGATTTTCACAAAAAAATATTGATTAACAGCATACAATGAAATCACACAGCTAACATCCCAAATTAATATTTATAGTAACTGTATTAAATGCATGACTTGTTGAATCCTACAAAAATTAATTCTTTCTGCATGAAAAGACATAGAAATACTTCAAAAAATGAATGGACAATACTAAAATTCTCAAAGCTGGCCAGAACTTGAATGATAAGATGCCATACCAAGCTTGCAAGCTATTCAAGTCAAACTATGAGAATAAAATAATTTCATGTATTGTCTATCAGCATTCTCATGTAACGATAACATGTTCAAAGTAAAACAATGCCAAATCATACAGAAGTTCTAGTCAGAAGTATCGCATTCCCCAGCAAAATGTTTGTTTCATGTTCCCCCAGTAGAACTGCTTCCATCCCTCCTTTGTACGTTCAAAGTCTTCTTCGGGAATTCCAGTCTGTATCAGCTTTAACTCAGTGCGGTCATCTTTCTGATCCAAAGAGATCGTTACCTTTGAGTGGTGACCTAGATGGTGAAATAAAAAGTACATGTAACAACGACATCTTAACAGGCGTAATGCGAATGATGAAGGCCTCTGTAAGCATGTCTAAGGAAAACATATTTTAAACTTTTAGGCCTCCTCCACACTACGCCAGGGAAATTAGAAAACGCAGCTTTATTTCTACACTTGAGCCTACAGTCAACACTAATCGATCCTGAAAATGTTCAGTGCTTTTCGTGGGTTTCTCTTCAAACTGGAGAAATTTGAAAGTGCTAGCTTTCCGAAAATGGAGTGACTTTTTGAAAATGGAGCTTTTCAAAAAGGATGATGTGGTGCTAATCATGTGATTTCCAAGTTCCCTTACCAAGTTTTCCCCAAACACAAATCCAAAATGACCGATGATTGTTGCAATTTTGAAATTTCTCTGGTAGAAAGAAAACATTAATTTTGATGCATTTTCAGAGTTTTCAGATTTCTACAGTGTAGGGCGGACAGAGCCTCTAAAGACTGATTTTTAGAACAAAATGGCTTAACCCATTGACTCCCAGAACTTTTTGCCAAAAATGCATTTTTTGGACATTTTGCAGATTTTCAGGCTGGATATGGGTTAAATTAGCTCCAATCTACTCAAAAAGGCATATGCAACATGAAAGCATCCTTTTCTTTCCCCTAGCATCGCATTCTACAACATGTTTGCTTGGGCAAATGTTTTTTTTACCTTTCCTTTTTCTCTTTTTCTTATCTTTTTGCTGCAGTGATTAACCTTCTACTGGGCTTGCTTCCAGTTCAAAAAAGTCTGAGAAAGCATCATCAAGACGGGCAATTTTTACCCTGGAGTAGCCATGTGTAGTTACAGGAAATTTTGCTCTGAGTTTTTCACTCAAATTTCTGAGCATTTTCATGCATATTTCAGGCTCCATTGAGCCGATCACTCTGATCTGGGTCCTGGGTCTGGTCCTCCTGCAGAAGTTGAGTATAGATGATGCCAATTTTGGTCAAAGTTGATGACGTCAGAAGTGGAACAAAGGCCAAGGCTTGTCACAGGCGTTTACGGTCGGCACGGGAGTCAATGGGTTAAGATATATATTTTTAATCCAGTCTAGCCAAACATGAGTTATTATTATTGCTGTTCATGACTTTTTAAAATAATGTGCCTTAAATTTATTCTGAACCATAGCAACTTTAGCTAGTTCTTTAAATTCGTTCATTGCAATCCTTTAAGGAGTGTCAATTAATAATTTATAACAACTAAAGCAGAAATACTGTATATATACTGGTCTTGTACACTAACTGAAATTAAGTAAATTTTGCACCTTCAGGCCAACTTTTGTACCTCCATTGCATAACAATCTTCTCCTCAGAAACCTTGAAGTGAAAAAAAGCAAGAATTAGTTTTAATAACACATGAGGTTGACACTTTACAACTCTACCAGAAGAGGTCACAATACAACAGGTTGACTTTGGGGAAACAAAACAAAAATCATTTCAAAATAACCGGGAGTTGGAGAAACCAAGTTTGATTTAGCCAATTGTAAACCACGTTGAAATCAAGGGCATATTCAAGGGAAATTGGTTTCAGTTTAAAATAAGAAGTTACCAAGTTCAACTATCATGATAGTGAACCCATATTTTAGGAAAAAATTGTTTATCATTTTTGTATTTTTTGCCTTACCAATTCTTGGAATTTTCCTGTAACATTGCCATTAAACAGGACAAATGTTCCTCCACGACTTGCATCCACTTTTGCTGAGCTTTGAGTGAAAGCTTCGATTCTCTAAAATAAGTAGACAATAGAATTTGAGATGAAATGAAAAGTTTGATGGTCAGTGGCTCTCCACCCATATACATGTATATTAACAAAAAAAAACCCACCTTTAAGTAATTATAATACAATAAGGCCTTAATTACTTTAAATTTACATTATATACCAAAGTTGAGCTTTGAAAGTACCATTTTGTTTGCCTTTACTGTAATTTTTCAGGCCTTTGTTAAGCCTGATTTTGGTTCAATTAGGCAAAAATATTTTTTGCATTTTAATCCTTAGCCCTGTTACTGAATTGGATATATAATTTACCCTCAGCATTTACTCTGCTATTTCTGTTTCATAAAAATTGCAAGCTCTGTAATTGTAACTAAATTTCAGAATGCTTAAATTACTTTTACCTGTTGTTCTGTTAAAGCTGCATAAAGTTCTTCTGCAGTTGTAAGAAATTCTTGTGTCATGGTTAGCTTTTTTGTGGAGATTGGGCAGCCCACTTGAGCTGTATCAGCTAAATGAGCAAATAAAACACCTTTGATTAACATGGATTACATGACTGCCTGACTAGCAAAATATACACAAACAAGGTGGTGACTGCAATGAAACTCGTAGCCCGGTACTAGTTTGACAGCAGCCATGTAAAGTATCCCTTAGTACAGTGACAAAACAGAAAGTGAAACATTGCAAAACTGTTAGTAACAAAATATAAATTTAAAATTTTCAAACACAGTTAAGTACAATATAGATGAGATTCCGGCCTCAAGAGTCCTCATGGGCCCGATGAGGATGAGTGAGTGAGTGAGATGAGATTAGTATAATCAGTTTACAAATGTAGTTTTAGAGAAACAGATAAGAATAAAAACTAACAAAATCACATGTTGCGATATCATTTAATTTAATTAATATTTAATTTCTTGCCTTGAAAATGATCTCAAATAAGTAAGGCTTGAGGGAATATTTTCAACAAAAAAATTAGCTATGTCGAAACGTTGTTTATTAATTTCACTACGCTTTGTCTTGAAAATGATATCAAGGTGATATTGACATGTGAGATTATTACAAGCAATCAAAGTTTCGATTGAAATAATTAGTTTTACAAATTATTGTGCATAAAAACAAGTCAAAATTTATCAATTACTACTCAGTACATGTCTGTTTGAGAGGTTTATTTCTACATGCCATAATTATATCCAGCCACTTACTTTTGTTTTTATTTGCATCTCCTGAGTCAGCAGAAGCATTAACAACTGCAGCCTTGAGTGCCTCAGAAGAGGATCTCTGGAGAACTGGGCTGTCTTTAGATGGGAGAATCATCCCTTGACTGAATTCTAGAACATCAACAAAAAAGAACCAAAATCCATAAGATATCTGTTGCCAGCTTATCAAACAACAAAACCCTAATTTTAAACTTGATTACATGTAGATAATTGAGAAAATTACTTCACTGAGATTGGCTGAGAACAGGCCAATTTATCGTTAATTTTTAATTTGCACTGCAGTGCAAATTAACACCCATGCTTTCGTGATTTTCACAGTTATATAATAAGAAGGCTCCAGGAATTAAGAATTTACACTACTCTTGATATTTGAAAATTCTTTCAAATTGCACTTGCCTAGAGGCTTGTGCAATTTTGAGAGAATTTACAGACATCACGCATAGTGTCAATCCTTACTGCACTTGTCTTGGATTCATATGATTACTGTACTAATTGACAAACAAAGGGTTTTACTGTGCACATTAAATTTATTATTTGTATAGGTAATCATAAGGTTTTGAGTTCAATTTGGAATGAATTTGCACGAGTGAGTTTTTCAAAAAGTTGAAATTGCACGAGCTGCTTCGGCGAGTGCAATTTCAGCTTTTTGAAAACCTCACAAGTGCAAATTCATTCCAAATTGAATGAGAAAAACTGTATGATTACTTATTAATAATATAAACATGAAAAAATTTGCGTGGAGGAAATGCTGGAAGATCTTTCTTAAAGCCATTTTTCTCATTCGAGAAAACTTTTTTCAAAGTTTCTGCAAAAAATTTTCATCTTCATTTCATGTGATATCATTGGCTTAGAAAATTTCCTTTTGTCTCTCAGCCAATCGTAGCTCAGAATTACGATGTGTAATTTGCACTGGTGTTACACTTGAACTGCACTGCTCTCAGCCAATCAGAATCGAGTAATTTTCTCATGTATATTATTAAATTAATAAAAAACTTTTTTATAGTTAATTAATAACAAGTCTTGAGTGATTCTTTGACTCACAACTGCAGAAGTCTTTAGCTGGAAAGAGCACACTATCCTGCAAGTGATCCTCGAACAGATACCAGTGGTGATAGGTGTAAGGCTGGCATAGCTACGGCAGGATAAATGCTATGTACATGCAACCCAGAAAACTTACCTTTAGTTAGTACCCTAGCCTGGTACAAGTGTATCACAATTAAAACCGGTGTACACTCGTACTCATTGCGTAATTAAGTCTCTATGTGGCTGGATCCAAGACACTACATCAAGATGAAATAACAACTTACAATTCTTTTACCAACAAGCTATATACAGTATATCTGCTGTCTATCATGTTGCACACATGTATTTATCCAACAGACTGTAAATTGTAAACAACTTTGTTACCTTGCCTGAGTTCTTTGATATATTGTGACAGCTTTTCCCTTATCAATTCTGGGCCAACTGATCTAACCATTTCTTTCAACTGATAACTTTCATCTGAGCTCTTTTCAGTTGTAACCAGCACCTGTGATTCCATTATAAGAAAAACAACAACAATTGTAAAGTCAAAACCATTCTGAGATAAAGTTGATATACATGAGATATCTATAGAAGCTTATTGGGGACAATGAAATGAAATGAAACTCACATTTACTTCCCCTACATCGTGTTCTTCACTAAGATTTGGAATCTCAATATTTCCTTTCCATACTTTGTCACTATCTGTTATGGTCCCTGTTGAAAATTAAACAGAAACCCAATTTGCTTGGAATGGCCAATTCTCTCCATCATCATGACTATGAAACTTGCCTACAGGGAATCATGGTAGTTGCATTCATCAGAACAAATATCCAGTTCAAGATGATGAATAAAACCACTGGTTCCTGAAGGCACATCTCAGAGAGAATTGGGAATTGAAGATTGTTTAATCTCGGCAGAGTTGACTAACAGAGTACTATGAGTACAAGGACTATTAAGATCATGTCCAGCCTTTTCAGTACAAAAATAATTCACTCACTTAAAAAGACAACTGTTTCATTTTGTAACACATGTTTCTAGCAACATATAATATTTGCACTTGTACAAACACTTTGGGAGAAATTGGACCAATATGATAGACAGTCAACCCTGCTTACAATTGTAATTATACAGACACTTACACTGAAACACTGTCAACTTTTTGCACAGGCTTACTGTACTTAAAATCATTATCTGCTAGACTAAAATACAAACTAATTGAATGTAAAAAAGATTCACAAAAAATAAATTTATTTAATGTTTGCCAGAATTGATGACTTATACAAGAACTCTTGAAACATAACTATGAATTATAAAAAAACAGTGATACTCACCTGACCAATCTAATGTTATTACCCATTCATAGAAAAATATCAATTTTGCTTTTCTGTTGCTGAAAAAGAAAGATTTAGAGAGTACATGTTTATGTAAAGAGAAATGTTACAGAATGATATAGTGTACAGTTACAGGAGTTACTAACAACGGTTTCCAATTAATCACAACCTAAGTAACTAGAGTGTACATACATGTACGTATATTAATTAGGGAACCATAAATCTGGAAATGTCCAAACACCTAGAATTGAATGAATTAAGCTTCTACTAGTCAACTAAAATTAATTATAGATTTTCTAGGCAACACATGACACATTTGTCCTCAGGGTTGATGCTCCATGTTGCCACGAGAATGTCGCGCACTTCCTGGCACTTGCATGCGCATGTATGTTATGTTACGCTATAATACAATATTTACTGTAAGATGCACCAACAAACACTCCTGACCAATATGTAATACGTGACAACTGCAACTGTTTTTTTTTTCTCTCTTTTTCTTTCTTCTTTTTGCTTTGTTAAAAGCACAAAGCTAATTAAAATATTCTCCCTTCTGTTGTATCTCTTAATTTTCAAGCTTTGTAGTATTGTCAGTATTAATTTTTGTGAGCAATGTAATCGCGTTTGTATATTTCATGTGAATAATCTATTAGTAAATAATCTCGGTACTGTTAGTTAATATATAAGTGTGTTCCTCATCATTGTATATTGTAGAGTTGTTATCGTAAGCTAATTATTGTTTATTTTTGATTGTAAGTTAATTGTAGATATTTTATTCTTCTGTAAGTAACTTTAATGTAAGTAATGTATGTCATTGGTAAATAAAAAATAAAAAATAAAAAAATAAAAAAAATAAAAAAAAGTTATAATATATTAGTTATAAGGGAGCAACGTTTAAATGAAATACGCAAGTAAACATCTAAGTTACTTATCAAACTAACTTTAGCCCACAACTGACTTAAACTTCTCTTCTCAAACTTCTCTTAACACTGCTGACAAAACAACCACTACTACTAGCTACATGTTCCTGAGTCCTTATTACAAAGTATTCAAAACTGTTCTGACAGCTTACAGCACAATGTTCAGTACTATTTGTATAGCATTACATCATAATCATCACAATGCAGTAGAAATGTTCTAGAAAGGTCTGGAACATGCTTTCTAGAAATTTCTAGAAACTACTTTACAATAATCCATAACACTATTTTTTTCAGGTTAAATCATGAAAATTTGAAAAGACCTTCGACAAAGATTGTCAAATACAGCAATAAATTTCATCTTTTTACAGAAATCAGTGTTCCAACAAAGTTTTGAAGTAGGTAGCTGTATTTTCTTTTTCTATTTTTCATTTTTATTTCAGTGAAGAAAAGCCCAGCAGAGCAGCTGGTCGATATCATAAGGTACACAGTGATTTTTTTTCTAAAAGCCATTCAATTTTGATCGACCTGGGAACTACTGGTGGTCAGAGACAGGAGGCTGCACTTACTTGGCATAAGCTTCACCATCAATTTTTCGAACATCAGTTATCTTGACTTTTCCTACAATTTTTTAAAAGAATTAAGCGTAGTCAGTTTAAATGCTCTCTTTCCTTGAGTAGGCAAGTATGTGTACGTAAATCAAAATAAATTTGGATCACATACAGGACGCGCTAACTAGTTAAGGTCAGCACACACGAGGGCACTAGTCCCTGCCACTAGTCCCTGCAACAAGTCGCAGGGACCAAGTCCTATCGTGTGAACTAGCCATTTTTCCTTCAAAATCTAGTTGCAGGGACTAACATTTTGGTCCCTGCAACTTCTCCCATGAAATCAAACTGGTTTGAATTTTTGGGACAAGTCGCTGCAACTTGTTCCTCAAAACGCTTCGCGTGAACTGTTCTTGGGACAAGTTCCTGCGACCAGTCCAATCATATAAACTCTTCAGGGGACTAGTTGCAGGGATTAGTCGCAGGGACCAGTCCCCTCATGTGTGCCGACCTATAAGGATTGGCAGTTGGTAGGTCAGACTAGTCATAAATTAAAATGCATGTTAAAGGTGCTCTTACCTTTATTTAACTATATTTACCTACAAAATTAATTCTTCAATTTTTCGTATTTACATGTAGGGAGAAGGATAAGTGGTAAGAGAAACTAAGAATTAAGAATAGTTATTTAAATTTAGTCGAGTATAAATAACATTGTTAATCAAAGCACGCATACATGCACTATTTACAAATAATATTTTCTGTTAGAAACCATCACATCACAATGCGTACTAATATATAAGTCACCCCACGATTCGTTTCACGTGAATCTAGTTAAAAGTCAGGGAGATCCAGAGGCTATATTATTACCTACAAAACTGAAATAAAGCTAATAATGAAGCTTATTTTGTAAATCTACAAATGTACCTTTATCTGTTTCGATTTCTAAATCCTTTAAAAGTGTCTTCAATCTTTCCTTGGACCAAGGAGTTGCATTTTTCTCTGTCCTGTTATAAAACACACAAGGAAATATTGTGGTTTAAATGTGATCATGACATCCTAAACAACGTTTTGAGACAGGGAAGTTTACACTTTAATACGGTTCAAATATGTCAAGAGTTATAAGCTCACTAGCCACGTGCAGCAAGTTTTAGGAACGGTCGATCACTTACCAGTGCCAATTATTCACATTTTTAGCATCAGCTCTCTCTTCTACGATCCACCTCGGATCACCTTCGCCCCATTTAGCCATGTCGATGACAGTTAAAAACCACTTAAACTCACAGAGCCGGTAGATCGACGAGTAAAGTTTTCAGTTCTTGTCGAAGTTGCGACGAGGAGGCAAGAATGAAGCGCGAATTGCATCACGGAACAATCGTACCCAGTTGTCCTCGTACAAAGCATAGGTAAGTGCGTGGTGTAACAGTCATGTGGTGGTTTGTTAGTAGAATCCATCATGGCAGACGAAAACGGGTTTGATGATGTGAACGGAAAAGCGGAAGTGGAAGAACATGCTTTAGAGAACGGAGAAACCGATGAAGATGAGAAAGGTAATTTGCATTACTAATGTTGAATTATTTCATTTGTGATACGGTGAAACAAGGACAAGCTTCATGAGTGAAATGTAATTAAACTGCTTATCTATCACTTTCACATTTGGAAATCTGCCAATGTTTTTTACATGACATGATTAAGCTTACTTTACTTGTTATGAACGACGTTAGACTGGCGTGTTTGGGGTGCTCGACATGAAATGTTTATAACAATAATAATGCACTTATATGCACTTATTGCAGGGGTTTCATTAAGCTAGGCCAGGCACCAGGCAAATTGACCAGCTGCGAGGATGATTTTGCCCGCTTGGTTTGACCACCTAGAGAAATGTTTTCTTTAAAAGAAGTTCAGGGAAAAAGGTTTTGCCCTCCAGTAAAAAGCAGTTGTCCTCCTGCGAAAATGTTAATGTAAAAAGCTTGATTATTGTTAGTATTATTTCTTTTTCAGAGTATGAGGCCCTTGATCTGGAGTTGGATCAACTAAATTCTTGTCTGGACAAGCTGGAAAACTGGAACGATTCGCTTCAGTCTAGAATGAAAGACATGCTAGAGAATATGCAGAAAACAAGGGTTGAGAGACAACTGCAGTTTAACGGGAATAGCAGTGATACAGACACACAGAGACCTCAAGATACCAATTAGCTCAATCGACTACTTTTAGGAAGGGATTGTTATCATTGTTAGAATTATAATTTGACTGTTTGAGATTAGAAATTGGAAAAGATGGTTTCAATTAAAATAGCCTAGTATGAATGTTTAACATGTTATCACTTGAAATAGAATATTTCCATTATTTTATTTAATATACAACTTTATTATTTCAGCACTATGATCAAAATGTTGTTCATTGCTGACTTGGGAGCTATTTAGAACATGACAAAGTGAACTTTGCTTGTTGCCAGATGCAAAATGTAACATTTTTAAGCCAGTTGAACTTATAATTTTAATTTAGTTGAGAATTTTATAGCCAGTAAATGAATCATTCAGTCTATTTGGACCTAATTACCTGTGGATTTTTATAGGTGGGAATATCAAGAATAAAATTTTGTTCTGTCCGAAAAATTCTTTTTAACTTCACCTGTTTCAATAATGTCTAAAGGCAGTCAACAAACCAAGGTCTTATTGAAAAGTTACTCCACTGTAAAAAACAAGCAAACCTTAAGTCACTCGTTCGAAAAAAAACAACGACAATGTACCAGATTTTGGATAGAATGTCAGTCTGTGTCCAACTGAGGGAATTAGTCCTTGTGATTTTTTGGGAAGATACATAAGTAAATTTTACTCTTTTGTCACCTTTCTCCACCATAAAGGATTATTTTCATGGTGATTTTGTTGACAACCTAACAGCTATTGAATGTAGCCTGGGGAACAACTGACCATCACGGCTAGAATGTGACTAGGAGAGGAGAAAGGGGGGCTGGGGGGAGGGGGGTGGTNTATTCAAAACTGTTCTGACAGCTTACAGCACAATGTTCAGTACTATTTGTATAGCATTACATCATAATCATCACAATGCAGTAGAAATGTTCTAGAAAGGTCTGGAACATGCTTTCTAGAAATTTCTAGAAACTACTTTACAATAATCCATAACACTATTTTTTTCAGGTTAAATCATGAAAATTTGAAAAGACCTTCGACAAAGATTGTCAAATACAGCAATAAATTTCATCTTTTTACAGAAATCAGTGTTCCAACAAAGTTTTGAAGTAGGTAGCTGTATTTTCTTTTTCTATTTTTCATTTTTATTTCAGTGAAGAAAAGCCCAGCAGAGCAGCTGGTCGATATCATAAGGTACACAGTGATTTTTTTTCTAAAAGCCATTCAATTTTGATCGACCTGGGAACTACTGGTGGTCAGAGACAGGAGGCTGCACTTACTTGGCATAAGCTTCACCATCAATTTTTCGAACATCAGTTATCTTGACTTTTCCTACAATTTTTTAAAAGAATTAAGCGTAGTCAGTTTAAATGCTCTCTTTCCTTGAGTAGGCAAGTATGTGTACGTAAATCAAAATAAATTTGGATCACATACAGGACGCGCTAACTAGTTAAGGTCAGCACACACGAGGGCACTAGTCCCTGCCACTAGTCCCTGCAACAAGTCGCAGGGACCAAGTCCTATCGTGTGAACTAGCCATTTTTCCTTCAAAATCTAGTTGCAGGGACTAACATTTTGGTCCCTGCAACTTCTCCCATGAAATCAAACTGGTTTGAATTTTTGGGACAAGTCGCTGCAACTTGTTCCTCAAAACGCTTCGCGTGAACTGTTCTTGGGACAAGTTCCTGCGACCAGTCCAATCATATAAACTCTTCAGGGGACTAGTTGCAGGGATTAGTCGCAGGGACCAGTCCCCTCATGTGTGCCGACCTATAAGGATTGGCAGTTGGTAGGTCAGACTAGTCATAAATTAAAATGCATGTTAAAGGTGCTCTTACCTTTATTTAACTATATTTACCTACAAAATTAATTCTTCAATTTTTCGTATTTACATGTAGGGAGAAGGATAAGTGGTAAGAGAAACTAAGAATTAAGAATAGTTATTTAAATTTAGTCGAGTATAAATAACATTGTTAATCAAAGCACGCATACATGCACTATTTACAAATAATATTTTCTGTTAGAAACCATCACATCACAATGCGTACTAATATATAAGTCACCCCACGATTCGTTTCACGTGAATCTAGTTAAAAGTCAGGGAGATCCAGAGGCTATATTATTACCTACAAAACTGAAATAAAGCTAATAATGAAGCTTATTTTGTAAATCTACAAATGTACCTTTATCTGTTTCGATTTCTAAATCCTTTAAAAGTGTCTTCAATCTTTCCTTGGACCAAGGAGTTGCATTTTTCTCTGTCCTGTTATAAAACACACAAGGAAATATTGTGGTTTAAATGTGATCATGACATCCTAAACAACGTTTTGAGACAGGGAAGTTTACACTTTAATACGGTTCAAATATGTCAAGAGTTATAAGCTCACTAGCCACGTGCAGCAAGTTTTAGGAACGGTCGATCACTTACCAGTGCCAATTATTCACATTTTTAGCATCAGCTCTCTCTTCTACGATCCACCTCGGATCACCTTCGCCCCATTTAGCCATGTCGATGACAGTTAAAAACCACTTAAACTCACAGAGCCGGTAGATCGACGAGTAAAGTTTTCAGTTCTTGTCGAAGTTGCGACGAGGAGGCAAGAATGAAGCGCGAATTGCATCACGGAACAATCGTACCCAGTTGTCCTCGTACAAAGCATAGGTAAGTGCGTGGTGTAACAGTCATGTGGTGGTTTGTTAGTAGAATCCATCATGGCAGACGAAAACGGGTTTGATGATGTGAACGGAAAAGCGGAAGTGGAAGAACATGCTTTAGAGAACGGAGAAACCGATGAAGATGAGAAAGGTAATTTGCATTACTAATGTTGAATTATTTCATTTGTGATACGGTGAAACAAGGACAAGCTTCATGAGTGAAATGTAATTAAACTGCTTATCTATCACTTTCACATTTGGAAATCTGCCAATGTTTTTTACATGACATGATTAAGCTTACTTTACTTGTTATGAACGACGTTAGACTGGCGTGTTTGGGGTGCTCGACATGAAATGTTTATAACAATAATAATGCACTTATATGCACTTATTGCAGGGGTTTCATTAAGCTAGGCCAGGCACCAGGCAAATTGACCAGCTGCGAGGATGATTTTGCCCGCTTGGTTTGACCACCTAGAGAAATGTTTTCTTTAAAAGAAGTTCAGGGAAAAAGGTTTTGCCCTCCAGTAAAAAGCAGTTGTCCTCCTGCGAAAATGTTAATGTAAAAAGCTTGATTATTGTTAGTATTATTTCTTTTTCAGAGTATGAGGCCCTTGATCTGGAGTTGGATCAACTAAATTCTTGTCTGGACAAGCTGGAAAACTGGAACGATTCGCTTCAGTCTAGAATGAAAGACATGCTAGAGAATATGCAGAAAACAAGGGTTGAGAGACAACTGCAGTTTAACGGGAATAGCAGTGATACAGACACACAGAGACCTCAAGATACCAATTAGCTCAATCGACTACTTTTAGGAAGGGATTGTTATCATTGTTAGAATTATAATTTGACTGTTTGAGATTAGAAATTGGAAAAGATGGTTTCAATTAAAATAGCCTAGTATGAATGTTTAACATGTTATCACTTGAAATAGAATATTTCCATTATTTTATTTAATATACAACTTTATTATTTCAGCACTATGATCAAAATGTTGTTCATTGCTGACTTGGGAGCTATTTAGAACATGACAAAGTGAACTTTGCTTGTTGCCAGATGCAAAATGTAACATTTTTAAGCCAGTTGAACTTATAATTTTAATTTAGTTGAGAATTTTATAGCCAGTAAATGAATCATTCAGTCTATTTGGACCTAATTACCTGTGGATTTTTATAGGTGGGAATATCAAGAATAAAATTTTGTTCTGTCCGAAAAATTCTTTTTAACTTCACCTGTTTCAATAATGTCTAAAGGCAGTCAACAAACCAAGGTCTTATTGAAAAGTTACTCCACTGTAAAAAACAAGCAAACCTTAAGTCACTCGTTCGAAAAAAAACAACGACAATGTACCAGATTTTGGATAGAATGTCAGTCTGTGTCCAACTGAGGGAATTAGTCCTTGTGATTTTTTGGGAAGATACATAAGTAAATTTTACTCTTTTGTCACCTTTCTCCACCATAAAGGATTATTTTCATGGTGATTTTGTTGACAACCTAACAGCTATTGAATGTAGCCTGGGGAACAACTGACCATCACGGCTAGAATGTGACTAGGAGAGGAGAAAGGGGGGCTGGGGGGAGGGGGGTGGTACTCAACATAGTTTTATATGGGGAGGCTCTGCTCTGAGGTCCAAATATACTCTTACCCTTTTATATGCCATTTTTGACAGAAAAGGTAACCCTTAATAACTTTGACAGAATCTGGTAGCCCTTTAACATACCTACAGTACTCTTTAAGTGACCCCAAAATAATTCCTACAGAAATCTTTCTATGCAAAAAAAGATCCATCAGTTTAATTTAAACCCTAAAAAAATCCCCAAATCTTTAATCAATGCATCACTTTGTCACTTATATACGTGTACTTATGTACCTGTGCGATATATCAGGTCAGTGACTCAGCGCGATACGAAAGTCCTCGTGAATTAGTTTCTCGGGATCCGGGATTTGGTTTATTTGAAGGCCGGGATTCAGGATTTTGAAGGAGACGAGGGGCGAGAAAAAGAACTTATGAAAAAGAACGGAATTGGTTGATTTTACGAAGCAGGAATCACGGGGGAAAAAGCGAGAAAAGAAAATCAAACTGTCATCTTAGTTGATGTCGGAAATCGGCCGAACAATGACTTAGTCGACTTAAACAACTTCTCTACGACGACTTTCAGTTTGGACGCCATCCCGTGTAATGAACTGTGAGATTTGCCGCGGCACTTGTAACTGTTGCTACCATCTCCGGCTGGCAAGTAATCAGCGATCAAAATGATCGGGAAACTAAGGCAGACGTTACCATGAATAGAGGCAAAAAAGAAACGAAAAAAAGAAAAAGGAACAAGCTATCAAATGAATTGACTTACTGACGGACGAAACGCATCTGACCGTTACCGAAACAAAGTAAACAACATCTTTTTTTTCTCCTACTCTCAGTTAATTTATACTGAAACTGCGAAAATTGACTACTCTCAGAGGGTACTGTAAAGGGTGTTTTTGTCAGTATTCGTCATGAACTGACTTATTTTTTTCCGTGAAATGGGAAATTACTAGCTTTTGGACGTCGGTAAAACTCGTGACGTCAAGGTAAGTTACCCGTGACGGTCAAGTGACAGTAATCACCTCGTCCCCAGGGTCCTCCCGCGGGAATGAACGGGACTATACATTGTACTTCATGGGTGAATCGCACGGCCCAATTAAAATGAGAAGCGTTTTCTTTTTGTCGCCACTTTCTTGCGGAAGTGAACAGAAAATTTAAGAGCTGGTCTGAGTAACTTGAGTCGTAAGATGACGGAATGGTTGAAGAGGCTGTCAAATGTGCAGGGGAACAATAAAATTACCCGTGTGTGGTAAGTTAATTGGGTTTTAAATCAATCTTTTCTGTTTTGGTTACTGGCTTGCGTCAGTCACCACTTTGCGTGTGAAATCATATAGTCAATCTCAGTGAGATCGAGATACCTCGAGATTTACCTTTAAAACCGGCGCGAGTTGTTACAATGAAAACAACTGCTCTTTACAGTATATAATTGGTTCAGTTTCATTGATTATCACATTTCGAGTAAAAAATAAATCAATTCAAGTTTACCAGCAGAAACATGGCGCTACGAATGTTTGCAATGACACATATAATATAACCCAATTTAGTTAAGTTCGAACGAAGGAGAACGCAAATCTAATTTTGTGTTGGTGTCCGGTGTACAATGTGGCTGTCCTGCGTTATACAGGGTAGCCACTAAGGGGCAATGGCCTCATCTTCGCACGTACTCACGTAGAGACTGAACAGTAGACAAGACCCGTGAATCGAGACCACTTGGACAAGTTTCTGCGTTTGGATACATAACAACTATTACTTAACACTCATTTCGTTCAAATCATACAAACCTTTAATTTTCTATCACTCTTTTTAATTCTTATTTGAAACTGAAGATTTGAAAATTCTAGACCTTCAGCAGTTATCACGCCAGAAACTGCACTCACGCCACTCCATCTCAACACCATGAATTTCTTAAACTTTTACTTATTTTTATTATGTACTTAGAATTTCACCACGTTCCCCTCCCTGGCTTCTCGTTTACCCCCTCTTCCTCCCCTTTGAATGACTCTCACGTAGTATAGTACTTTACTGGCTTGATGTTCTTAACTTCCTAGTTAGTTAGTAAAGTCTACATGAGTAGTCCCTCTTTTGCTTAGTCCGTCGTGCCTGACAAGAAAGAAAACCGCACTTCTCGCCCCAGGATTTTGCGCGGCCATTTTCTTCGCGTCAGGAACGGGTGACGTACACGTGACGGGTCAACAGTCCCATATTTTTTCCACTGAAGGGAGGACCTGAAAGTTTGTGCCCTTTCAGGTACCTTTTCCGCTATTACCCAGAAGTCCTCGCGTTTAATATTTTGACTGGGCTCGAGGCTAAAAACCAAAATGGCGCGAGAACGTGGTGAAAACACTTCCGAAATTTCCCCTACTGAAACTTCAAAGAAATGCTAAAACACTTGTGTTTTGCGTCAAATTTCTCGCTCCTGACGGGAAAATGGCAGACTGCTGTAAAGAGTTGCTACTAATCGTTGATAAATGTAAGACTAGGCTGTTTTGCGACATTTTCTGTACGGAAAATGTTGTCTATTGCTGTGCGTGTCCTTCTCGATAATGCCGGGCAATCTTGAAAATCACCTAACTGTGAAATTATTTATTGTCAATTCAGATAACTCGGAAAATCCAGAATTTGGAAAGGATGATGTTGTGGAGGTTGTGTCTTTTGTCCTGTCCTGGCCTCAGCGGTAGGTGGATTATTGAGAGATCTGATCAAATATACGAAGCCGTTTTTAATTTGCGATCGACGAAGCAACATCAAAATGTCTGTCCTCGTTCTCTTTGCAGGCAGTGTAGGTGTATATTCAGAGATCAACTGCACTTGGCGCGTCTTGAAGATCTGCTTCAGCGTCTCTTAAAATGTGCCGTCGATCGCATTTGCGAGCTTCGTGTTCCTGCTGTCGAAGAAGGGAAGAAGGGAAATGAACCCACATGCAGTGGTGATCAAACCGACGTGGACCCAAACGAGTGGTCGCAACCAGATAAGGAGAGGCTGTTTCTCGCTGTGGGAAAAATCTTTCAGCTTCCTTTTCCTTTTTATCAAGTGCGAAAGATCCATCTTTTGCGGCAGGTATGCAACGAATGTTTATATCTGGATACAACTTATATCATTTTTATAGCGCGATTTTAAATGGGTAGTGTGTGTACAGTTCCGTACTTCTAGTGTCCGAATGGTCGCTGATCATGTGCTTTTACCAGGTGACCTCAAGATTTTTTTGTTACAACAACGTATTTCTTTTGTCTTCACACACTCATATAACAATATATCTCAGCTGTAAAGCGCTGAATGGATACACGAAGACTTGAAGGAAGTTTCACATAGAGGATGTCAAGGAAGTAATTTTTTTAAGTGGCCTATATTTGTGTCTTAGTCCAAAGGCTTATGTAACTTGTCTTTTTTCAAATGCCATGTAAAAAGTCTAAAGTCTCAAAGCTAGCTGACCAGGTGATCTACAAAATTCATTTTGTAATTTTTTTTAGGAAACAACAAGTAAAGACTGTTCAAAGTACTGTGATGTGAATGTAAGTACATTTCATTATGAAGTTACTTTATTGGGAAATAACTGAAGTCACGTCAAATAAAACAGAGTTGTGAAAAGTAGCTGGCTGCCATGGGAAATCACCATTTATTTCACGAGATAAAAAAGAATTGGGGCTAGGGCCAATATTCTTCCAATATGGTCCTGAGCAAGCTTGGTTAATAAGAGTTTTATTTAATACTCAACTTAAAATTTTTAGAAAGAATGCCACCATCATGGGCTGGGAAAAACATGCAATCCTGATAGAGAGCCAATACTAATGTCTGATGTTAAATAAACCAGAATGAAGAGACAGTTGGAAGAAAAAGAAAAGGAATCCTTTGTTTAACTGCAGAATACCTTGCCAACTGAGTTAATTCATTCATGCACATTTCTCATTCTTTTAAAAATATGTGCACAAGTACATTCGAAAACAATAGTGGAAGGGTAGTCTGCAGTTGCTCAGAATCTTTTACATGTATGTTTAAAGTAAGTTCTTTCGGAGACGTAAACCATAACACAACCAATCCTTTGGGACAGTGCTTGGTCCAATACTGAGAGAATATTGGACTGGTAATGAAGCAGTCTGATTGGTTGATTTTAGTTATTGACTCACTGAACTAGCTTAGTCGTGTAATAAGCGAGAGTTATTGAANTTTCTAACATATCTTTGCAATAAAAGATTAAAACGATCAATACACTGCATTCAATTAAAGAGAAAAATAGCACAGATAATGCGGGCATTGGGCAAATAAAGTGATCGCCCTATTGACAGCATGTTTGTTTTTTTGCAATCCTTGTGCCCGTGCTGAATCACATCAGCAAAAGTGCGTGCAAAAACTGTGTTCGGCCACCTTAACTGTTTTATGCTTTTGCCGTCACAGGATGGTGAAGTACCAGAAGCCCTTCTGATCAATGTTGCCTACTTCTGTGACAATGGTGGCCTGTCTGCCATAAGAGAAGCCTTCCAAGATGCCGATCCTACGTCTTTGCCATTTCCTCTTGCTCATCATCTTATCAACATTGTAACTCAGGTAAAATGTCCCTTGTTTTAAAGCTCTTGATTCTTCTGTAGTCTATATTTGTCTACTGGCTGTAGCTAAAAAATGTAACTTCATCAGCTTTTCACTAGCTGAAATGCCACTAGAAAACAAAGACTTGGGATACTTTTTGATGTGCTGTGGTTGACATTTGCAGACAGCTGCAGAACTGAAAGCAGACTTTTTGACTAATATTGTACTCCCATTTCAATTACCAAGAGCTAATTACAAACAGGCTAACCTGAGTGCTATTCAAGCTAAGCTGAGTGATATTCAGGCTAACCAGAGTGCTCTTTAGGCCTAAATACAGTAGTCTTCAGCCTACAATCTGCAAATGTCACACAGCAGATACTTACATGTACATATGAAGGTGTACAGGTCAGAAAAGCATGCTGGGATTGCCAACCAGTTTGCTTAATTTGAATTCTCTTAGCTACATTCCTGTTTTTGGTCTTGCGTCTTGCTCCTCGTACAACTTGTAGGTAATCAGTGTGGTCTCAGCTACTAGCTGTTCAGTATGCATTTATGTAGAGTTTAGAGATGATTCTTTTCTTTTGTTAGCTTCGTTTATGGTTTAGCATCCAAGCAATCATGCAGTATATTATTCCACTTCGAAGACCAGTCATAAGGTCAGTCATCAATAATGAACTGCTATGAGAAATATTAAATAATATTTTTTGTACTTTTGTGGGTGGCTTAGACACCCAGCCTCCACATAGAGAGGCAATCGGTTAATGAGAGGCTGCATAACATGTCTAGTGTTTAGCATTCCAGTGCTACATGTAGATGTCTGTTCAGCATACAGCTAATGCTTGGGCATATGCTGTTTTGATATGTGTTTTTGGACCCAGACCTTTTACTCTTGCTCAAAATAACTGCCCCCCTCTACAGGTGTGCTAATATTGTACAGGTAAATACATGCTGATAAATAATATTTTTCTGATGTCCTGAGGAAATTCTTGGGCATAGAAAGGAGGAGGGAGAGGGGATCGGAAGAGTCTCTGTTGAATTCTTACAGGCATTCATGCTTTTCAATCAAATTCAGGAAACCTTGAACGCCTAAAATATGCCTGGAATGTTTATTGAATGTGTTAGGACCTATTGCGAACGAGATCTTCAACCACAGGAAACGGATGTATTCCATCAGTCACAGAATGATAAATTTAGTTTTAGGTTTTTACTTTGTCCCAAGATAAACCCTCCGTTTTTATAGATGAAAGTATAAATATTTGCTATCCAGTCGTTTTTTTATATAGAGCCACATGCAAGACTTAGTTTGAGGAATTAAATTGGGAAACAAGAATCCCGCCATCGCTTACAGTTACTCAAGCGAAGCCATGACTAATTTGACACGGCTATAAATAGAAAGATTGACGACGATAAATTCAAACGTTTGCTAATTTTGGAATTAGTTGTGGTTAAAAGTAAACACCTCAATTTTCCACTGTTCATTCCCAAAGAAATTTACACTTGATTAGCATATTACAAAAACATAGTGGAAGACTTATATTTTCATCAATATTATTCATTGCTTTTCGTTGTTATCAAAATCACAAAATTAAATACACATAATAAAAGCTATGATTTGGATTGTTCGTGCTTGAGTGATTCAACAGCAACCAGTTGCATCGGCCTGGCACATTGCATTGGCTCATGAAAAATAGTTTTTTTTCCTTATCCCAAACCCTCTTCACTAGAGTTTAAAAAGCCTGCAACAGCAATTATCTAAATTCTTGTATAACCGAAATAGTGGATTTATTTTGAGACCTTTTGAAACAAAACCAATTTGGTCTGTAACCGATAGATACTCATCTGTTCTCTGTGGTTTCTGTGGTTGAAGATCTTGCTCGTGATTGGTTATAACACAATAAACATTCCAGACATATTTTAGGTGTTCACGGTTTTCTGAGTTTGATTGTAATTGCCTATTCATGTGGCGAGACACCAGGGTTAAAAAAAAAATAATGTTAATTTAAAAACCCAATGTATATGAAATATTTGTATATTTGTATTGATATCTTGTGTATGCAGATACCTCTGCAAACTAACTGATAAAGATCTGCGGCAGCCAGATGGTCGTATCATGGTGGACTCCATGTGGAGTGCTGTTAAGGGACCTGTTGAATCTGGGCCCATCTGTGATAAGTATGAAAATGACAACTGTGTAATTGTAGGTTCCCATGTAAAGTGAGGCCCCATCCTCACTTTGCTGGAGGAATTTTAAAAGGCAGCCTTATTTCTACGTTGAGGCCTTCCATCCACACTAATCCATTGAGAAAACGGAGCTTTTTGAAAACGCTCTTTGAAAACAGTAGCTTTTTGTTTTCGTGTGGACAGGAAACATTTTGAAAAGTTAACAGAACTTTTTGATAGGATGGTCTCACAATAATCGTGTGATTTCCCTGCTTGAGTTTTTTCCAGACACAAATCCAACATGTCTGGTGATTGTTGAGATTTTAAATTCGTCTGGCATAATGTGGAGGGAAAACATTTGATGCGATTTAAAAGTGAAACCTCCCCTTTCAAATTCCTACAGCGTAGTTTGGATGGGGCCTGAATGTATACAAAGACTGATTTGTAATTAGACGAGACAATATTGTTGTTTGTAACTTTTATAGTTTGTAAGGCTTCTGTCTTGACAAATCATAGGCAACTTTCATCATATACATTGTCTAGATAATGCTATGACTGTCATAGGAATTTAAAGCATGTTTGAAAATCCTATGATATTTTTCAGTATGAACAAGTTGTATATGTTGTTGTCCCAAGCAACAAAATTTTGCTATCTACGTGCAATATCAGTAGTTTAAAAGAAGCATTCCAAGTTCTCATTAAAATCAGAGACCATTACATTGTATTTTTGTGATAGTCAATTTTCTCTGCAGGGATAGCTTGGATCTGGCCTTTAAATATTTAACGTCATCCACTTTGACAGTGAGACTTGCTGGCTTGAATCAAATAACAGTAAGTTATTATTCTTTTGTAGCTGTAGTGCTACATGCAAACTTTAGCAGTAGGTTTGTTATTTTAAGATAACTGCAGAAAATTCAGGTTCACTGATTGGCTAATTTTCATTGTCAATAAGCAGGCAGACACATGAATTTATAATTTATGCGATGCCTCAATGAGCAAGAGCAGACAATTTGACAATTTTTTATCGTAAAAAACAAACTGACGTTAGTTTTTCATGCATCTGTCCTGTTATCAACAATGAATTTTGCCATGACATTGTCAAAGTAGTCTGCAGATCCACTCGGCTATCGCCTCGTGGATTCACAGCTACTTTGGCAATGTTATGACAAAATTCATGATCAATAAGAAGACAAACACATGAAAAACTGATGTCAATCTGATAAATATACAACAGTTCCTCAAACAGAGTGCTCCTGTAATATTGTTATCACCCTTAGTAATTGTCTTGGTGATGAATCTCGGGTATAGACTGACTTGCTTACAACTTGTTTTCCTCAGAACCAGGTTCACATGTTTATGGACCTCTTCCAGACAGACCCAGCTGCTGAAATAGACAGGCAATGGTATAAAATGTGTTCTGTTTTGTTCATGTAAATCCTGTATTTATCACATCCTGGAAAAAAAATTAAACTTACTAAAGGTTTTTGTCCCAGACCTACAGTGTACATGACTACAAAGATGCACCTATGGCAAACATTGATGTCATTATAATTACTGTGTTGTTAAATTAATACATAATTTGTAAGGTTCTATAGCTTGTGGTAATAATAGAATAATTTTAAATGTGGCTAAATATCATTTAGGCAAGGTTAAACTCGAGCTAATGCAGCCAGCTAGCATGCCCATCCAGCTAAGATCATTTGGGCAAGTTAAATATGAACTTATGCAGCCAGCGGTTTCCCCGTTTGGGAGTACGTGACCTGTGGAGAGGCCTTCAGGGGTTTTGCAGGGGTTTATGGTTCATTGCATAATTGTTGTAGTGTATTCTGCTGATTATTGTGGATCAGTTGCACTGCTTTGCTCGCTAATCATTGTGGATTCTTGCACCCTCTCCTCCCTCCCGTTTTGTTCTTGGTCAGGGTAAGTATTCTTCAGGTAAGTAGTTTCCACTAAATTTCCTTCAGTGTGACGGTGCTGGTTAGCGGATGCTCATTGGGTGGTTCCTGCTTTCCAGGGTTGCCATGGATACCTCCTAGCGGCTTATGGCTTTGGCACCCCGCTAACCTGTAAGGCACCAGTTCCCAAGCTCATCTATTTGTGATGAGTTTAATGATAATTATTAGTAGTAAAAGTAATACTAATCTTGATTTTGTTTGTACTACAGCTTGTGTACAGAACTTTCTCAATGGTTGATAGAGAACAAACTTGTGGAGCATTTGTTTGGTCCAAATCTGCACGTTGAGGTGACTCTTTACTTAAGTATTGTTATTGATTAACTAAATTACTGATATTAATTATTTGTTACCATGAAACCTTTGGATTGCCAGGTCACAGTAATTATAAATTATTACATTTTTGCGATGTAAAAAATTGAAAGAAATCTCAAAATAATACATTTAATTAAATTTGTCCAGACCTGTAGAAAACATCAAAGTGATAATAAACTAAATTGGAACAAGTATGGTTGCGTCTAGTTGGGACTGAAACAAATTTATTAACAAGTAAAGTATTAACAAGTTAATAGTTTTATTAAATAATTTTGTTTAGAAATTATTGACAAACTAGAAAGCATGTTGTAGGGTATCTCACATTTGATGTAGCTCCTTACTATGTTCATGACAATTTAAACAACACAGCTAAATGCATTTTAAGAGACTGTTATTGATGTAACCTAGACATGTGGATGGTCTCTGGTACTTTTATTTGTGTCTTTTGACCCTGACGATTCTTTCGCATATTTGTAGCTTCTTAAACAGTCTCAGATCATATTGAACTATCTGGCGCGGGAAACTTGCCTCACGACCTCTCACTTGGACTGCATCTGGCTTGCAGCACAGGTATTACTCACAACTTGGAAATCTAATTACTCTTCTCCATATATTACTTTGATGTCTCTTGAGAGAATCTGGTTCTAAATCTGGGTTTTAATGAGACGATCAGGTTATTCATTCCCATCACCTAAACATTTGCGCAGATAATAAAAGATGAGTTAGGAATCAAATGTAGCTCTGGCACTAAGGACGACCTAATTCTCACGTTGTCAAATATTTTCAGGGTGGAACTTACAGTAATTTTGTGAATTATAATAATTATACTGAAAATCATTGAATTAGCACCCAGGGCGATTAGTTCAAATTTGGGATAAGATGAAGGATTTTTTGTTGGAATGTTAAGTTTTTTCTGGACACCAAAGGGTAAAAGACAGTGAGGCCAGCAGAAGAAGAAAGAGCTAAGTATATCAGTGAACATGCCCTGAGTACAGTGTAATCTGAGAGGTGGCACGAGACTGCTCCTGACCAGCTTTAGATAGATGGTAGAGACCTGACACTGAAAATCACATTGGTTAGAAGAACTGATTATGATTGTAGTTAAGAGCTTTAGAATCTGCTTTCGTGGATGTCAAACCCACCAACATTTCTCTGAGTTTATCACCCCATTGTAAAATTAGAATGAAGCACCCTTTTTGCTTTTTGCTGTGTTAAATATTCAAACTTGTCCTCTGTTTCATTTCTAGCTCAAACATGTAAGCCGTTATGTTCATGACCTGCTGACAGTGCTCACAAAGCACATGGACATGCCCTCTATTCTGTACCTGTTGGACCTGGTTTCCAAGCTGCCTCCAATGGCGCACACACGACAGACTCTTTACCTTGCCTCTGTTCTGATCAGAATTGTCTGGAGGGCAGGATTATCCTCTGCTGCTGTTGAGTCTGGTCCGTCTGCGCATACAAACAGCCCTGTTCATGGACCAATGACTTCTGGTAAGTGATAAACAAGTTACACTTTCTCTAACCATGGTAGAAAATTAATAAGTGTATTACAATATTATTATTATTAGTTAGATAGATAATATTGATAAAAATATTCTGCCTCAAAAACATTGGTGCTGAATGCCACTTGTTGTAATTCCTAAAAGCCAGTTTGTTAAATAAATGTAAGACATGTTACTGACAACAATTGTAAAATTATAATTAGTACTAACATTTGTTAGTGTAATATTATTGTTCACAAAGTTTTTTTAATTGGAATTTAACTAAGTCAAACTCAAACCAGTCCTGGCCAGTGGCTCTGCATTGGAAATGCAGAGTGGGTATGCCTAAAATGGTCTTTTAGGGTCTTTGTACTACGTTTTATTTTGGACCAGCTGTGTACAGACAGGTGATTATTGTGTGCTGCATGTGCATGCATACAATTGATTATGGTCTGCGCAATGCCTACTTTAAAACATCCCCCTTCTTCGCCCCCGCCCTCTTGCCCCCCTACCCTTTACAGTGTTTGGGCTACATTTCCTCTGATTCCCATATTGTGCTGGTGCTTGATACATTGCTACTTTAAGGGTTGCCCTAGATACATGCACGTCCATGCTATGTTTATAAATTTCAATCATCTTGTCCTTTATGGGAAAATCTCCAGGTACTGCAAATGCCGCAATGGTAGCCTCGGCTATGCAGCGGAAATTCAGTCGCACTGCAAGTCTCAGCCAAAGCAGCAGCAGGAGTGGAAGTGTGAGTGACATCAGTTGCGACGGTGAACAGCTTGATATGGATGAATCACCAACACATCGTCAGCAAAAATATACTCAGTATGTGTATAGCTTCATGTATAGTTTGCTTGGTTCAATTTACAGAAAAGTTGCCACTGAGAAGTAATACTGCATTTAATAGCACTTTACAGTCGTAGTAAGGATAAATTTTTAGGATGAGGTCATGGTTGAAAAGATTAATCACACCCCAAAATGTTCTTGTACAGTCTTTCCTCACAGGGGAGTGCTGACATGGACACAGAGGAGATCCCTCACCCCCCTGACCTCAGACAGCCCTACCCTGGCCAAGCAGAAGATTACTCCAGCCAAGAAAAAACAGGTGGAGAAGATGCAGACATTGACAGCACCAGCTGCACCAACAGTCGTGGCAGCTCTCTGTCTGACAGGCATGACCTGGATGAGTTTGATGCTGAGGGTGTGCAAGATGAGCTGACACAGCTCAAGACAGTGGCAGCACTGCGTGTCATGCAGGATGAAGGAGATGAACGAGAGAGAAGCCTGGGGTTTGATTTGAACACAGTGTGCGAGGAAGGAAAGACTCTACTCTGGGATCTGATTCAAGATGATAAAGCTGTAAGTCCTTGTCAGATTCTTTCATTGTCAGCATTATGAAAATCACCAAACCATGGAATGGACTCAATTTTTGTACAGCGACTACTCCTATTTTCTATTGCTGACCTGCCCAGGTTCCTTTGTGTTGTTGCGAGTTGATTGTAAGTGAGGTTTAAACTATTAAAGGTGGGGGAAAGGAAAGAAGTGGATAAGTGTGTTAAAAAGTAAATGAGAATATTATTTTTACACATTTGCTTCTTTCCCTTTGCCAGCCTTTACTTTAAGTTTTGCTTGCAGTCAAGTACAACAACATGAAGGAATGTGGGCAGGCCAGCAAAGAAAGTGGGAGTGGTCGATACAAACATTTGAGTCCATTTCACGGTTCGGCGATTTTCATAGTAAAGAATTGCAAAGGAGGAAGATGGTGTTTTCAGTTGTTTTTAAGGTTTCCTAAGACGACATATCATTGAATAAGATTTTTGTTATGATGTTTTATTTGATGTTTCTTTTCTCAAGATCCACCTTGCTGATGGCCTGGTTCAAGAAGCGGAAAAGCTACTTTGTCAGTTGATTTGTTACACTGGAGAGAAGAAGATCAGAATGAAGTTCATTGAGGGATGTGTGGCTAACTTGGCTGCCAACAGGTACAAACATTATGTAAATAATTAGTTGGACCTATAAGTTAGCTTCTTGCAGAACTCAGCCAGCTTGGCTGCTGTTATTGTAGGATGTATTGTGCAAGATGTAAAAAAAACATGGGTGTTTTAGGAGGTCAGACTGTTTGTTTTCTTCTGTCAGTTTCTTAAGTAATGATATTGTATTATTTTTTTTAAACCTTTATCCTCATTCCAGGCTCCAGTTGTTTGAAGGCTATATGAAACATGAAAGACCATGTTTGACCACATTTCCAAAGACCGAGAGGAGAGTTGAAAATACAACGCACAGCAGAGTATTTTTGACGAACTTTGTGGTGATTGGAAATGTGGTCAAGCACGATCTTGAGTGTTTGATAGCTGTTCTCAATTGAAACTGAATCTAAGGAGAAAACGGAGAAATAAAAACATAAAAATCTATGCTGATTAAGATCAGATATCCAAACACTGCCATGGTCATGGTTTCCTTTGTATAAATTTTATGAATTAATAATGAGTTTGAGAAGGCTGGATAACACTATCCACCAGATAAATCGCTATCCAGTGGATAAGTGTTCACAAAACAAACCACGCTACCCGATGGATAATGATTTATTCGGTGGATAGCGTTATCCACCTTTCAAACAACGGGGGCCTCCTCTCTAGATTTCTTGTTATATAAAGTTCTGACACTTAATGTTTACAAAAACAGAGAGACTCCACAACACAAATGTAGTTGTTGTTCAAGAGAGGAACAGTGTGTGTATCTGCTTGGGGAAAACAACTGTGATTTTTTGGTTTCTTTAGGTCTGTGGTGATGTCAATTCAGCTGCTGCCCAAACTGTTCAGCTCATTCCAGCAGTTTGTTTCTGGTGATCAGGGCCCTCACTGGGTGACAGCATGGGCCAGTCGAGAGTTGAACATGATGGAGCTGTTCTTTAACAACATTACCCACTGTGTGGAAACTGTGGCTCAGGGGGATGTTACTGGCAGTTCCCTGTACAGCCCTATAGAAGAAGTGCAGGCTAGACTGCAGTTTCTGTCCTCTGTGTTTTCATGTGAGCTCTCACAACAAGATTTCAGTAAGTACATTGTATTATACACTTAATGTGATGCTGTGTATGCCTTGCTTGGAAAAAAATGCCGTCCAGTTGTCCTGGACAAGGAAATTGTCCTACCGGGCAAGTTAGTTTTCATTTTCACTCGCTTGATGACGAGGGCTTGAATGCAAGTCGTTTGCCACCTAAATCCAAAAACATTAGTATACTGAGGCTTGCCTAGGGCCAGCAAAATTTGAGAGTTGCTTGTCTGAAAGGCAATCTGGAATTCACGTTTTTGTCGAGCCATGTATACTGTATAACACAGTGAGATTACACTTACGTGTCTTGACAATAAAAATAGCCTTGAAGAGCATAGGGTCTCGTCCTTGAAAGTTAATGACTATGGAGAGTAAAGTGTCTTGACAATGAAAATGGCATTGGAAAGTGTAGTGTCGTGACGATAAAAATTACATTAAAGAGTTAAGTGTCCTGACCATGAATATGGCATTGTCCACTACTGGACTCTCAGTCAAACCTATGGTTCCAGACCTCAGTGAACGAGAACATTGAAGGATCTCTCTTTCTATTGCAGAGTTGAGTACAAGTCAAGTTGATGTACTGTGGCACTGTTTAGTGTGTGACTCAGATAGGTCTGACGACACACTGGAGTGGTTTTTACAACAAGCTCAGAGTAAAGAATTCCATGCTTTGGATGCTTCTGCTTTGCAGTATATTTTTACTGAAAAGGTAGCTTACTTCCAAAGACTTCTTCTTGTATATGTACAATTAAAATAAGTGGTTTTAAAGTGATATATCAAACACAGAAGGCCATGTTTGACCATGTTTCCAAACACTGAGAAGATAAACTTAAGCAATTTGTTGCTTACAGAACTTTACATATAAATTTCAGAAGTATTAATTTTTGGCACCAAACATATTGCTCAGCTGCTACATGTATTACAAACAAATCTGCGTCCTTAATCTTTTCCAGCTGCCATCTCTGCCGGCTGAAAAGTTTACCATGACTGGTCTACATCTTCTACAGCAACTGTACAAGATGTTCAAATACTCTGATGTGAAAACCTCTGATCCTACAAAGGTAAGAACTACAAATTAAACTTGTAACCCCTCTACCTTGTGCTTGAAAGTGACCAGGCCATATAGTTACTCTAGATGAAATTTTTACAACACTTACATGTTCTGCAGTAGATGGCATAGGTTCATCTAGACTGATAATAGATAAAATTATTCATATGTTGTTTTTCAACATCACTGTCACAGTGTATGAAATAATGTAACAATTGAATATTTTGCCTTCTCTCCAGCCATGTGGAATAGATCAGTTGTGGAAGATAGCTGTTCAGGCCAGATCTACCGAGGTCAGCTGGGCAGCCATCTCATACCTGAACTCACTCTACATCAATGGTAAGTAGTATTTACACGTCATTTACATGTAGATTATAATAATAAGCATGGAATTTTTCACAAGTATAGAGTGCCGACAGCCATGCAAATTTATTTGAACCAAAGAAGGGGTGTTTGTTACACCAACATGGCCGTCGTTTTATTGTTTTGATAGCTGCGGTGGAAATGCTCCATTACCTAATGGCATATTCCCAGTTGATTTCTCATTGAGTCAGACCTGTAACATTCCAGATTCAGTACAGTGTGATAATTATTGCTTTTTTTTCTCATTGATGTAGCAAATGGTGGTTGCCTGAAATTTGAAGACGAGTTTATTCAGAGATGTATGACCATCATTGGAGGGGCTTCACAACATCTCAACATGGTATAGTCTCATCCATGCTGTAGTGTGGACAGAATTACACTCAGACCACCTGGGCCTCTAAAACGTGGCCCAAAAGAAAAAAACATTATAGGAATTTCTGCCTACTTTTGCCTCAATACTTTTAATATTAGCTTCTTTAGTATTTATTAACATTAGCATTATTACATAATTGCAGCACCACAAGTCTTCTGACTTGCTTATGTGCTGAATCACCTCCGATAAAAATAATAATAACAACAGCAACAACAACATTAATAATAATACCCTGTAAAGGAAGGAAAAGTTTTCTCTGTACATGCAAATCAATACATTCTTTGCCAAGACAACCAGGGACTTGATTTTCATGAATGAAACTTATTCTTACAGGAACAGAACCTCCAGATTATGGAAAGAGGACTGCTTTTACTGAAGAGTCACATCGAGAGCTTCAAAAGAAGGTTCGTTTATACAGTTTATTTGAGATTTTCGGCTTTCTCTCTTGATCTCCTGTCACCAATCTTTGCCATTTTGGATGGGTAGACTGTATAGGCTTATACAAGAACTGTCCATAATGTCAGAAAAGATCTTGCTAGCTGTGAAAAGTAGATCATTTCCCTTACAAAGGAAGAAAGTCCTGTTCATCCTTGTAGAAGAAAATATACATTAGGTATCATTTTGCTTTTCTTTTTCTTGAAGAGAGTATTTTGTACGACCTCCCTTTTCAATGAAAGTGCTGTTGCATTGTCATGTGGCAGACAAATGGCATTCGGTGTGTGAGAATTACTTTTTCTTGAAGAAAGTATTTTTGTACGACCTCCCTTTTTACCAGGTTCGCATTTCATTTGCGTCTGTGGTGGTTAGAAGGAAGAGGGATTACCTGCCATCAACAGATAGCTCAGAGACCAACAGAGAAACATTATCCCATCAGAGTCTTGTGTGAACCTGCTGGACTCTCAGACAGGGTAAGGCATATTCCAGCCAGATTGGTCCGTGGTATTAGTTACATATGTCCATGTATGCATAACTCCTTTACCTTATTAACAACATATTTGCACAGAACACCCTGAACACAATGTTTTGTTGGCGAACAACAACAACAAAACAAGAAACAAAATTGGAGTCAGACATAACATGCCATCTTTAGTGCATTGTTCCAAAATACACTCAAATCAATTGTTCACCTGGCCACNGTTGTAATTTGCAATTTTATTTTGCTTGATGACGTAGGGTACATTTGAGATGAACTCATCAGATCTTGTCGCCGACCTTCGTGCAGAGGTGACCTTCTGGTGCAAACAGCTGCAAGAGAAACTTAGGAAGGACCCTCAGCTTGGAGACAGCTTATCTCAACACACACCCCTCTCTCCGTACACCCCACAGTTGCACCCCCCTTTCAGGCTCATATCCCAGGGGCATGAATTAACCCCCAACTTAGATGAAAAAAGTCTCGCAGAAGTTGGCTTTAAAGACTTGCAGGTACTGCCGTACAACACAATTTTGAACATTTTTTTTGTAGTGTAAATCCTCTGGTAATTGTATCGATGGAAGGGGAGCTGTAGTAGTAGAGAGGGTTTGTATAATCCACTGATGGTTGAATGAAACTTCCAATTTATTTTAAAGTAAACAGAAGTTCAAAGCAAAATATTTAACACTGTCACTCCCAAAGCCACACCTGGAGGTGATTCAGAATTTGCTTTAAATCAGTGTTTCAGCCAGAAAATTTTACTTGAGGGCCAAAGTGGCCCCTGAAGATCTTTTTTAGAGGCCAGTTTTTTAGGAAAGGGGCCAATAAATTGAAAGCTATCGAAGGAGAAAATGCATCAGGGTAGCTAGGAAAATAAAGCAATTTATTAGGATCTATGATAAAATTTAATAGTAAGTGCTTTTTGAAGTGTTTCTACTCAATAAAGTTTCTTTTGAATCAGATACTNTGCGGGCCATCTCTGATTGTAACGCGGGATTCCCGCAATGGCGCGCTCTGGCCGAAACACTGTTAAATTTGGGGCGTAACTATTCAAACAAAATTTTCTCTGCATTACATTCAGTTGGATAGGCTGTTTGATACAATTTCTTATGTAGAAAGTGGTTCCAACTTTTATGTGTGTGGATGAACGACAGAGTTTCACAGAGTTCTGTTTGTTGTGCCAACTTTCGAATCTGTACACGAAACCGAGGTGTATGACCATTTATTCAAAGTGAAAGTCATCGAGTGTTACTTAAATTTTCATGTTCCTTTATTTACTATTTAGTAATAATAATTGTGAGCATGTTTTATCCTCATTTCAGCGGGTTTTTGTATCTGTTGGAGCTGTAAGAAGAGACAGGCATTATGATAGTGGTTACATTCCTTCCTCCTCGCTCCCGTCGCCCAAGTGGGACTCCATCCCCATGATTATTCTCCTTCAAGAACAATTCTTTGAACAACTTTTCTCCTTCTTAGAAGCTTTGGATTGCTTTGTCGCGTCAAGGAGTAGCCCGACTGAAAAGTCATTGCCTGGTTCTTCGATGGCACTTCAAACATCTCAAGAAACAGTCGCTGCTGAAGGGGCTCTAGATCAGATTGAAGATATGGACGATAGCACTGAACACGAAGACAAACCTCCTCTGCTCCCACTAATGGAAAGCAGAGTTGAATTTTTATGTGGCATTACTTGGGAGCTCTTGTTTCTTTTGCCAACAAATCAATCCATTCTAAACAAACTGAAGTATTTTGGTCGTGTTCTGCACATGGACTCGAAAGGCTGTGATAGTAAAAGTGATACAGATCAAAAAACGGAGAAAGCTCAACCCGAGGAAAAACTTTGGGAGTCGTTATTGGATCCGAATTTCCCTCACAAACTATTGTATTCTCTTCAAGTGATAGACTTGATACACAACTCCTCAAAGGAGACACAGGCACAGTTTTCGCCCACTTATTCTCGACTAAGTAGCGATTCTGATATCTCTGATAATGATGACGAGAAAGAGGCAGCCATACCACAGGTTCAAGCTGCCTCGTGGGGCTCACAGTTCATTGACTTTGGAGGACTTGGTCACTTGTATCATATTCTCATGTCAGGTTGTTTAGAAGTCAGTGGCAGTTCACTATGGACGCAATGGCGGCAAGAATGTCTTGCGCACCTGTTGAAACTAATTTGCGAATTTGGGACGATGAAACGTAACAGTGATGACGATGATGATGTGTTTGCATCGTCAGAAAGTGACTCGAATAAGCTGCAGATTCAGAAGAAGGATGGACAGTTCCGAGTCAGATACAAGAGTACGGACAAAGAGGAAGTGATATGCATCAAGTGCTTGTCTTCCAATCTTATGTCAATTGTTAATGTGAACTCACTGTTGGAGAAACTGCTTCACATATCCTATCAAGCAACTCTGCCCATCCATGGTGGTCAGAACAGAGTCAGTGGAGGAGAAGGTGAATTTCTTTTAAAAATTATGATTCCTTTGGCGCGAAAATATGCTCGGATATTTGTCCGCGGACATTATAAAAAAAATTTCCAAGGACAAATATCCGGAACAAAGAATTTCCAAAAAACAAATATCTGAGATTATTTTTAAAGAATCACGGAGGCTATTGTGTGTATTGACCTTCAAATATTTTCAGCAGCACACGGGAGTTTTTGAAAATTTGTGAATATCACTCGGTTATTGCCCAGTTTTATCTGGGGCATATTCAGTGACGCCCTTAGACCAATCGCACACAAGCGAAAATATTTGATGGATAATAAATTAAACTATGTGGTCCATGTTTTGCTATCAGTAATCTCTTCTGGTTTATATCTCACACAGTTGTTCACCATGCTGTGTCTCTACTGGTTTCTGCTGCTTTTACGGATGGTACCGTTAGAAGCTCGCTTCTTCAACAGAGTAACTTTAAACCTTGGCTTCAGCAGCTGGTGTTATTAGCCAAAGAGGTAATGCTTATTTCCCAATGTTTCACTCTTCTCCCATCCCTTGTCTTGCATCTATCTCATGCACAAGGTAGGGACATAAACAAATAGAAAGCTGGGAAACCACTGCATGTCTGGTTCTATCCTATCGATTGTGTGTAGCCTGGTTAGTCACTCTTCGTTATTTTTCATGGCTGTTTCATCTCAGGCTTCATTCGTTTTCCTCTAAAAACATTGCGTACATGGACGCATTGTAGGATGACATTCTGGTGACATCTGATTGGCTCTTGCTTTAACGCCATTGCATGTAATATCTTTATCGAATAATGAGGGAACTTGATGATTCTCACGGATGAATATTACTTTTGTATTAACCTATTAATGATAACATACTTGTAAGTGCAGTGCATGATAAGGCCATGCTTGCTGTACATTGAAGTTGGTAATAATTTTTGGACTGCTGTACATAGCGTCTTTCAGCTCATTTTGGACAGTGAGGCTAATACAGTGTTACACCTCGTGTTTATATTCCATGCATTGCTATTTTCAGCCAAGTGTGAGATTTGAAGCCTGCCGTGGTCTTTACCGACTGAGTCTCATCAAGGAGAACTCCTGCCTCATACAGTTGATGGACGCCCTGCTGGACTCCCTTCCATTAGCGCAATCTCTTCAATCACGAGAAAGCTCTCACGCCAGGCGACAAGAGCCCAGTGCACGAGAATACTTCTCTATTCTGTGTAGACTTGTGGATGGTCTCCCTAGTGTGGAGGGAGGTGAAAAGGTACAGGGACCATTTAGTTACTCAGTTTTAGCCTCGAAGTCAAAGCCGGAATTTATTATTATCAACGTTACTGTCATGCAATTTTGGATGTAATATGTCAAGCACGATAGACCGTGTTTGACCAAATACGAGGCGTAGCGGAGTATTTTTGACGAACTTTGAGGGGTTTGGAAATGCGGCCATACACGGTCTTTTAACTAAAAGCTAGAGAAAAAACGGAGAAGTAAAAGTGTAAAATTCTACGCTAGTTAAGATCACATATCTAAACACCGTTACGGTCATAGTTTCCTTTGTGTTATTTTTGATGATCCAAGAGAAGTCAGTTTGGAGAATTTAGTGGCACATCAAACCTATGTCTTCTAGTTGACGGTTGTCTTTATATTGGTCGCCTGCAGGCCAGCGTAACAATAAATTATATGGAGATACACGTATTGCCCTAATGTTCATCTCCAATGAATTCCTTCGTGTTGCTAACCCTGTTAAATTTCTCTCAGGATCATGAAGTGGACTTGGATTCTTTGGCTAAACTGCTCGCCAAATACATACGAGACTGGTAAGTGATGAAACGATTTTGAGAAATGTTTATTATTTTAGTTAATTTCCTTCGCGTTTCTTTCAAAATTAAGATGTTCCTATCCAATGTCCGTGTATAGCAAATATTATTATTTAGGCTCACCTCCACTCAACAACCAGACGGCTCGTCTTCACACCAAGCTAGCCTGAGATGAATGTCATGCACGTGACTCTGCACTTCACCACGTCCCGAGAGGGAGCATACACTTCTTTCGGTTGTATATTGTATCCCACCCTTGATCAGGCCCTCTCATAATACAGCTAAGACACAACAATAATCCGAAGAAAGACCTAAAACTTTTATTCGCTAGCAAATGTTTCGTATTCGTTTCGTATTCGTGTAAACATGACCCGCCTCGATTAGCTCAGTTATCCGCGGGCATGTTGTAATTGCAATTTTAATTTGAAAACAGAATAAAATGTATGTATGTATATGTATGTAATATTTGATGTCCATTGTTACTAGCACTGCTTTGTTTTGACAGCCGACCACGTACAAAGCAAAAGTATGGTAGCCATGAAAATGAAGGCCTGAGCGGTATGTTGAAACTCTGTACAGCTGTTATGAGGCATGATCCATCATTCAAGATGTCCCGTGATGGACTGGTAAGTGACGTTTTTGTGGCACTGTTGCTAGGCAACACTAGCCACTATGTTATTTAAACTCGTTTCTTGGATACTGTAAGCCTTATTTTTGAAGTCTGACCCATATTTAAACTGTTGTAAAACCGAAATTTAACCAACAGATTTCAGTTAAACGTAACGCACAGCACTTGCACTAGAGTTTCATATTACTTTACCAACAAAAAGAGGCACTAATGNGCATGCTTATTGTGGTCTCTGTTGTTACATATATAGGGAAGAAAACGTAATGAACACGTGAAAGACAAACTACGGGTGAAATTTGAAATGGACGAATTGATCCTCACAGTTTACTTGCGATATTGTTTGATGAGGCACAAACTAGGACCTGGCTCATTCAAGTTGTTTCTAATTGTAGTTATGGACAGAGTTTTGAACAATTAAGTTGCTGATAACTGCTTTCAACTCTGTTAGAGTTTTCATTCCTTCATTTTGATTGTTTAGATGGCAGAAAACGTTCCTCTTACGGATGGCATTACTGGCCTCACGACAATGGCCGTTCCCCATGTGGGCTGGTAGGAATGATCAATTTAGGAGCCACGTGTTACATGGCCTCGTGTATGCAGCAGCTCTACATGATGCCGCAAGCCAGGGCCGCTATTCTAAACTCAAGGGTGAGTCATGCACAAAAAGTTCTTTGTAGAAACACTTTTTAAGAAGTGTGCCTAAGCCTTGCAGTGAAAATTTCCTCCGATGAGAGACCAGTTGAAAACATCAGGAATTGGAATCTACAGTGGCATCAAATGTTGCAATGGCGATGAGATTTTAAAAAGTTTGACCAGCCAGGGCTCGAAATTGCGACTCACTGGTCGCCAATGCGACCAAAAATTGAGCACTGGCGAATAAATTTTCAGAACTGGTCGCCAGCTGGCGACTCGCGTTTTGTCCGATAACTAAAGAAAACCACGACGCAACTTTTGTTTTTAAATCTTTATATTAGGAAATCAATCAGATATGGTAGCTAGTATACAACTCACTTTTCCGTCCCCAGTAAAATAATGTCTGAATATTACAAGATAATCGAAAAAATTGAATGTACTTCGACACGTCGATACAGCGTTCACGGCGCGCCATACTGTTTCAACGGCTTCTTCCGAAACTGGGATCGCAGGCACACTTCAACACTATGTGCTTTTCATTTGCCGCGAAAATGGCGGGAGATACCAATCAGTTGAGGGTTTACGTGAGTTTTTTACGTGCGGGGAATGAGGATTCAGCCGAAAGGTTAATCCAGACTTTGAATCCTTCATCAATTGTTGATGTAGGGTAAGTGGATTTCACCAAACTGCCGAAGGATATCCTAGGAACTAGCTTGATTCCAGGCGTCGAGGAAAGCAAGTCGAAAATAAAGAACGGCATTTCGAAGAAGTAGCAAAGGGAAAATACGCAAGGACCCGTGTTTGTCTCACAATGAAAACCACGGACTTAAAACGTTTTATGATTCGCTTCATTTAAAATGACAATGGAGACAACCATCACCTTCGGACCAGAGACATATCACCTGAGAACGACGGTAGCTTTATAACTAAGTGTTACTCGTGTTGTTTCTAATTGTTTTCTCTCTTCAATTGTGACTTTTCTTGCATGCAAAGTAACGTATAAAATCGTGTTCATGTGTAAGCTATATATAAAAAAAGTTGGCGACCAAAATTTACGATCTGGCGACTAAAATTTTTCCGTTAGTCGCCAGCTGGCTCCCGAACGAAAAAGTTAATTTCGAGCCCTGCCAGCAATCCACCATAGGAAAAAAGATGGCGGCTGTATTATTTAACCACAATGCCTTGCGAACCTAACACAGCCTACGAGGCACAAAGAAAGTGAAATTTTTACAATATTTTCCCCTGTACTAAGGACATTGAGTAGCCTAAGTTTGAAGGATTTTATAGCGTTTCTGTACGTTTTTATGAACGTTGTTAATGTTTTCGTGCGCTAAGAACTATGGGTAAATGTACCAGTCGCCATCTTTTTTCCTGCGGAGGATTGAATTCCACTGTCTCTTCAGCATTGCTTGGGAGGCGCGATGGCCTCATGGTTAGTGCGCTCAAACCTGGATTCAGTGGTCTGGGTTCGAGCCCTGGCCGGGGACTGACATTGTGTTGTGTTCTTGGGCAAGACACTTTACTCTCTAAGTGCCTCTTTCCATCCAGGGGGGAGTAGAAATACTCCTAGTCGCTTCATGCTACTGAAACCGGAGATATGCGCCAACCTGATGGGCCACTTGACTCATATGCAGACTTCGCCTTTACCATCAACATTGCAGTCCAAATGTGAAGCTTGCTAAGTACTTACTTCTTTGTTGATCTCCTATGTTTTTGTTGTTATCTCTTAGCTCACCGACGATGTCAAACATGAAGTTCTCCTGCGTGAAATGCAAAGGATGTTCTGTTTCTTAATGGTCAGTCCAGTGTTTCTTTTCTTAGAACATTTTATTCATAACAATTCTTGTTCAAAACTGATTTGCTGCACTTTGAAATTAATGGCTGAAGTACAAGTATGAAAATATAATTACCTTCATGAAAAGTGTGTTAAAAAACTACTCAACTTGTTTTGGGACTATGCAAGCCATCTAATGTGATTTCAATTTTTTTTTTTGTAACGCCAGGCAAGTGAAAGAAAGGCTTACAACCCTAAAACCTTTTGCCGGACATACACTATGGACAAACAACCTCTGAACACTGGCGAGCAAAAGGACATGACAGAGTTCTTTACGGACCTGATCGGCAAAATAGAGGAAATGTCTCCAGCTCTGGTGAGAAATGTTATGTATCTGTTCGATCTCTCTGGTTCTGGATAGTGTATTAAGTTAGTGGTTTTAGTGTTTGTTGATTAGGTTGTCGCATATGTTTTTGTAAGGTCTATTTAATATTACTGCGATTTTGTACTCTGACAATTGTGTAAAATTAATACTGAGTAAAACATACTCTGTCAGATTGTTAGATCTTCGCTATGCAGAAAACGTATTCCGTAAGAAGTCTTAGAAATTAATGTACCGACATTTGCTCTGTCTTCTTTAAGAAGACTGTTGAAATAAAGTGCCTTCCCTCTGTAAACTTTGCCAGTAACTAAGAGGGTTATGAATCACTGCTGCACAGAATTGTTTGGCGTGAAAGTATTATTTGTTAAGTGTTGCCCCTTCCATTTGCTTGTAGTTAGACTAAGAAGTGTAATTCGTTGCTTAGTTTTAACACCATTTTCCCGTCAACTGTTCGATAAATTTAACAACTTATGATGAGTTGAATTTTATTTTGCAGAAAGTGTTGGTTAGAGATTTGTTTTGTGGGGAGATAAGCAACAATGTGGTGTCACTGGTAAGAAAGCAAATTTATAACTGAGACTGAATTCTACAAGCTACAGTGTAGCAGAAAACGCGTAGCTGACTGTCAATGCATTGTGTACACACTCTGGAGACAGGAGATCGTATCGTATCGTGGTATACTATTTAACTTCTTCATGTAGCATAAGCATGCTCAGGTTGGAGTAGACAGATCACGCTGGCTTACATGTACGTCAATCCATGTTCAGTGGCGTCGAATATGATGGAGTTTGCGCTATACAAATTAATTGACATGTGGTTATCATCATATTGAAAGAAATGTCGATCAGTAGCGCCTTGCGCACTATTTCTGTTAGGGGAAAAGGGACACAAAGTTGATATCAGAGTACTTTTTTTTCGCGAAATGGGACATCAGTTTCGTTGCCTTGAATTCCAAAGCCAGGATAACCCAAGGCTTGCCACAAGCGCCCAATTTTTGCGTCTAAATCTCTAAACATATATATTTTTTTGTCACGATTTTCCTTTGCAGGACTGTTCACATGTCAGCAAAACAAGAGAAGAATTCTACTCTGTACGGTGCACTGTGGCAGACATGAAAAGCCTCTATGTAAGACTTTTGATTACAGTGTTGGTGATGTGTGTTGGACCTAAAATATCAGAAATGTAAATGTCGTGCCTGTTTTCAGGACAATGAGTTTCAAAATTGCAAGGCAGATTTTTTTGCAAATATTGAATTTTGCCAATTTCAATAAAACCTCAAAATCCGAGTTGTAGACTTTGACTTTATTTTGCTTGAATGTCTAATCCAAGCCAATTTCTAATTATTCCTGAAATATTTAGGTGGGGTCTTTGAGAAAAACGTCATTAGAATTGCGAGGGTGCAGTGTTCCTAAGCACTCGAGTGGTCATTTTGGCTCTTTATTAACGTTCGTGTTATTGAGGTGTCGGGTATGCCATTATGCCGTATTACTTGTGTTAAACAATTTGTTCATAATCGAGATCATCTTTGTCACACCTCTTTGTGATGTAGAAGGTTGCGTGCTAATTTCTTAAACTTTGCGCAGATTTTTTCACGCCTTCTTAGTGCAACCCTGCGGTAAAACCCAGACAGCAAAGTGTTGTTTCAAAAATTGTGAAAGGAACGTGCTTAAGCCTGGAGTACGTGTAGATGTACTACCGGGTGTGTTCTCTTTATAATGCTGCTGCTTTACATGGCAGGAATCTCTTGATGAAGTGACCATCAAAGACACACTGGATGGGGATAACATGTACACTTGTTCCCAGTGCGGAAAGAAAGTCAGAGCTGAGAAAAGGTAATTGAAATCTAAATGAACCAAGTCTGACTGCGAGTAAAGAGATTCGTTATTTAGCATAAGTCTATCACCAGCGTGGAAGAAGTAATGAAATATCGTTAACAAGTTGTATAGGTATCTGGGAGGTCATGAGTTCGATTCCTGTCGGAGGGGGAGGGGGCGGGTCAGAGTTTTTCTTTGTCCAAGACACGAGATAAATGAAGAATAGGCCACTTCCGAACCGAGTTACCTTGGACTTCTGTGTCAATACAAGTCTTAGTGCGAAACCATTCATATGGAAACGTGTTTGGCCCACAGGTTCATTTTCATGCAAATCAAACTCATTTTCACATGAAAGGTTTTGCCGAAGACTCGTTTTGAAACAGAGGCTCAAGCTAACTCGGAAATGGCCTATGATCTTTATCAATATCGCATTGTTTGCCTAATGGGCTAGTGAAGTGGACAGCTTGAATGAGGTGTTGTTGACAGAGGTGATAGTTCCAACCTTTCATAATATTCTCTTCCCGACTTATCATCCATTTGTGTAGGGCTTGTTTCCAAGTTCTTCCTCGCATCCTTTGTTTCAACACAATGCGCTATGCCTTCAACATGGTGACCATGATGAAAGAAAAAGTAAACACGCACTTCTCTTTTCCACTGCAACTCAACATGGCGCCATACACTGAGGACTTCCTGATGGGAGACAAACAAGAACAAGGTACGCTTTTGAACGGTGTTGTACAATGTGATCGTGGACTGATGTTTGCCATACTTAAGGCATGGGTGCTGGTTGGAAGTTCGGAATTTTGAGGCATATTTCAAAGCAGAAATGTTCACCGTTTATTCGTTAGCAAGGTAAAATTGAAGTTTAAGCTCTCTATAACAACAGTTCAAGATCTCTCAACAACAGTTCTAAAAAAGACCATTTCTGTTTGTAACTTGTTTCCAAAAAGCTGATTTTTATTCAGATGTAAAAGCAACCCTGCCTTGGAATTTTTTGTTTTTTTTGTTTTGCATTTTAGTCATTTTGCTCGCGTGTATGACACATTAAGCCTGAATAACTGATGAAAGCATGTAAGGAGCGCTTTCGGGTTGGCATGGAACTGTTACCATTTCTATATACAGTAAAAACCCGCGTATAAGAACCCAAGATTTAAGAACCTGTTAAGCTAAAATTTTCCAGGTAAGCACTCTTCACATAAGAACCATTCTAGGCTAAAATCTCAATACAGGTTCTTATTTTCAAAATATAGAGTTTTTTTATTGTAATACAGTACATCACATGCGATACATAAAAGGTAACAAAAACGAGCCAGAGCACTGGCAGTGTTATAAGACCACAATACTGTACTGTTAAGGGCAATATAAAGGCCACAACCATGAGTACAAGTTATTTTTTTAAACAAAAATTAAGAACCTTCACAGTAAACACTATTTATATAACAACCTATGGAGGTTAACGTGAAAAAACCTACTAATGTAAGTGATTTGATATGATTTGTGTGTTTTTCCTGTTAGACCCTCAGCTCGACCTAAGTTACTGGTATCAATTGATTGGAGTTGTAGTCCACACTGGTACAGCGGAGGGGGGACACTACTACAGCTTTATCCTTGACCGGTCCTCCCCTCAGGGGCGTGATCAGTGGTTCTTGTTCAATGATGCTGAAGTGAAGCCATTTGATCCTGCGCAGATAGCGTCAGAATGCTTTGGCGGCGAAATGACAGTAAGTGTTTCCGATATACTTTTCTTTGAGGAAACAAATTTTACATGACACGAAAACAAGTAGGTTTTGATTGTACAGAAATAGAAAGAGTGCGGGCACAAGTAGCTAAGATAGGCTATCTCTTCAAAAGTGAAGCATGAGTAACCATAGGTATTGCTTAGGTGGGCTGGATTTGAAATCTGGAAGTCCCTATTTCAAATACTTCTCCCTCGTCCTGGTTAACTTCTCAGCTACATTTTAGTGGTCAAGTGGCTGCCTTCACCAGCTGGAATTCTTAACGCGTTTCAGTTAAATATGATTTCATTTACAGTGGCTTTAATTAGGGCAACAGCGCTAAAAACAGTTACATCTAGAATAATGAAGTGATCTATTGATTGATTGATTGATTGATTGATTGATTGATTGATTGATTGATTGATTTTATTTTTATTTTATGATCAGACCAAGACATACGATGCAGTGACGGAGAAGTTCATGGACTTTTCATTTGAGAAGACACACAGCGCGTACATGCTTTTCTATGAGCGATGTGATCCAAACGAGAAAGACCTGTTGGCACAGACGCCGAACATCGAGTTGAGCCAAGAGTTGGCTGATTGGATATGGCACGATAACATCCAGTTCTTACACGACAAACACGTGTTCGATACAACGTACTTCAATTTCATGTGGCTTATATGCAGCAATATTCCACCTTCGGTCCCAGAATCCAACGAGGTCGTACTCTCCAATGTCCAACTGGGTAAGTAGGCTTTTGGCTTGTGTGGGGATCCAAAAGATGCGGGGGAGGGGTGGGGGGAATGGAATAAAAGCATCACTGGTATGGGTATGGGTGGGGTGAAGGGTACTGGTATGGGTATGGATGGGTCTCTGCCACTTAGCCGAGAGTTTCTGCGATAGATGCAGTGTTACGGTGTTACGCGCCTTACCGTTGCCACCAATGACGTTCTTACTTAGTTTTTGATAACTTTTTGACATCTTTTTGACAACTTCTGATCACTCTACTTTCAAATGGCATATCAATCAATTGCTTGTATAACTAGTTAACTGATTTGAACCACAGGGACGTCATTCTTGTTGGAAACTCTTGTCCATGCCAAGGAGAAACTTCTGATAAAGAACTGGGCAGACCTTCTGTTGGCACAGTACGCTCAGTCTTCTGTGGTCTGTCAGTGGTTTCTGCAGACTTTGCCAAGCGAGGACTGGTTGCTTCAGGTGCTGGTCAAGTGTCCCATACAAAGTATCCGACACGTGAGTATAGATAATATCTTGCATGTGTAACATCAGGGGCACTAGTGATTATAGGGAAATCGCTATTTCAAAATTTATAAGAATGTGATTAAACGTACAAAGGATATACAGAGGAAATATCCCTGTCCTGTACACAAACAGGCAGCATATTTCTCATCTATGTGAACTTTCCACGATGTGCTTTCAGCTGTTGTTATTTATTTATTTATTT